TCCCACCCACGCTCAGTTATTTAAAATTGAAACCACAAATTAGTCTACAACTCATTTAATGCTAACAGCCGACCAATGAATATAATATTCTCGAACAGGCCACCACCCCCACCATACTCACTATTCTCGAACCACCCACACCAAATTTTTTTCCGTAACAATGCACAAAATTAATTACTCCAAATTATTTTAAAACCCACTTAGCACATTAAAAACCCACCCACCACACACCACACACCAGACCTAAAAACCCACCCACCACCCACCACATTTAATCGTCTGGAATAGCCAAACACAATTATTATATTGCGACCACCCACTTTATAAATTTTTAAAATAAACAACACACATCTTTTTGAAATGAACATCACGCATAGCACAGTTTCAATCTTCAATCACAACATCCGTCTTCAATATTTATCTACTAAACTACTCTATCTTTTGCACTTCAATTATTTACAAACCCTCGTCCAAATCAACAGTTTAATACAATCGAACTACAACTTTGCTACAGAAAACACACACAACTTGTGACCTGAATAACCAAGGATGGAGAAAGGCACGTTTCAAGGAAGTATGCATACATGGTAGAATGTCCATTGAAAGATATAGGTCCATCTTCCTAGTCCTATGACCACACGGTACGCACATCTCCTCATGTTTCAACTAATCTGTTTCATACTTATTAACTACATGTTCTAATTATACGTCAACACACACTGTCAATTTTTTTAAAGTGGCAGGGGGGGAGATATCTGGACAATAGAAACAGCTAAGGTGGTTCACCATGGCTTAAAGAAGCTCGACCACAAAAAAGGTCACAAAGCCATCCCATTAATCTAACTGTTTAATTCTGTGAACAACATTTTTACCAAAAACTACAACTGATTTTAGGATCGGTCACAGCACTGTATCAATGAAGAAGACAACAAAAATCACAGAGCCACATAGATGATCAGAGTGACTTGTATATCTTGAACGGTTAGTTGTTTACCTCATTCATCTTTAATAATCTGCACTCATTAGTTATGCGTTTGATAAACACCACATATGACAACTTTATCAACAATCAGGTTTGACACAAATTTGGTTTACCCTTACATGTGCTAAATTTTAAAATGTATGTTCATTTCATACAGCATTATGGAAGCAAACATGGATACCAATCACAACAGCTTTTTCTTCAAAAGTACAGGTACAATATGTAATCCTCTCTCATATGTTATCATTTAGTGTGTAGATCATTACATTTTTTATAAACCATTTTCCACTTACAGTTAAGCAAATCAATATTTTTTTAATCAATTATGTAACTGTTACACAGTTACAAACAACATTTTCACAGTACCAGTCAACACCTAAGAACAAACATATAAATTTGACAGAATTACATTTGAATCTAGGCAGGACACTTATAAATACCTGAATGGTCGCTTTCGACCGATTATCACTGACTTGGTTAGCCTAGGCATTCACAACGACCACAGAAATAAATTAGTAACTTCTCGCTGCACACACAATTTGCCAACCTAAAATCTAGGTTAAAAAAGAAATTTATATCAAATTACAAAGCTGCATATAAATAAATAGTTTAAAGAAATCTTATTCATAACAAAAGGATGAACCACTCAAATATGGAACAGAAACATATGTATTCTGATATGATAAAAGCCATCAACATAACATTCAAAACATTAGTACTATTGACCAGCTGGGGGGCAGACACATAATAGGAGTACATTAGTCACATTTAGCACCATCCACCTCTGAACATAGCAAAACAATTCCCCTAAAGTAAAGTTTACATTTGGTGAACATTATTTAGCTAGCCAACTGAAATCCAACCCGACAACAAAATCCGCGTTGAAGTAACGCCTTAGGGCAAACTAGTCTGGCAGATCATCAGTGAGGGTCCCTGGGTCGTTTCCTGAGGCATTACCGACAGATTCAAAGGACCACCCGAGTTCAGGATCTTCATACATAGGGGACATAGGTGCCAGCGAAGGGAGTGTGGCTGTTGGAGGGCCTCCCTCAGTGCCATAATCCAGCACAATTTTTGATAACACAACAAACAAAACCCTAGATGAACACAACCACCAACATTTACAGTATGCATATCGGTTTCGGGGAACATGTAAAAACATTTTTGACACTGTCTTATAAGACAACTGCCATCCACACCGCCACCGAAATCAACAACAGATTCAAAGGACCAATTGAGCTCAGAATCCTCGTACGTAGGGGACATTGGTGCCAACGAAGTTAGCCAGGGTGTGGGGGGAGGGACACCATCAATGAGAAAATCCAACTCAAATTTTTGATAACACCAAAAACAAAACCCCAGATGAACACAACCCATAGTACACATCTCGGTTTCGGGGAACATGTAAAAACAGCGTTGACACTGTCTTATTAAACAACCGGCAGACACACCGCCACCATATTCAAAAGGTTAATGTGGCTAATTTTCTACCACAAGGATAACTGACAGTGGTAGATTTACACGGCAAGCCCATCCCCCTGCACTGTTTTTATAAAATATCCCAGTTTCAAATGTCTGGGAAATATGCTTCAATAATTGTGTTCTGCAGATTTTACAAAACCCTAATTTTCTACCACATGGATAACTGACAGTGGTAGATTTACATGGCAAGCCCATCCCCCCTACACTGTTTTTATAAAATATCCCAATCACTTTTACCATTAAGTTTTAGAAAGTGATTGCAGCAAAACGTTTAATTACAGTTGTCTTCTTTAATGCACATCCCTTTTTTTGGTGTGTGTCCTCTTCATCATTAGCCCTGGTTAAAAATTGAGAATGTATTAGTATGTTGTGAAGTTCTATTACTTTCAATGCATTTTTAACTTTTTGTCAATCGACATAATACCAACGCATATGTTATATTTATTATTACCAACGTATATTACAAATATTGTGCTTTTTTGAACATTTCGGTATTAATTTGAGTTTCTGTAATGTATGTAAATCTATCTGAACTTGAAGTATTATCAAAACAGTGCTATGGTTTTACTAAGTGCATTGTGTTATTAAAAGCTATCTGTTATTAGAGCTGCCTAGTAGAATGAACTGCCCTTGTCATGGCAGCAACTCAGGGGGTGGGTGGGTGTTGGTAGAGAATTGGATACATGATCTGTCATCAGAAATGCCCATGGATGTTTCATTTAACATTTCCTAATTAAACAAATAATTGGAGTGTACTGCGATTTCAACACTTGATGATACCCATTACATCCAAAGTTAAAGTGAATGGGAAAATTTAGCATTCTAACATCACTGTGAACATACATTTGACAAAACCCTAATTTTTGTTTAGATTATGCAGATTTTAAATAATTTGCACCCAAATAGAAAAATATTCATTTTCAGTATGATTTTTAACAAACTTTTGATAAAACTGATAGACCTGGAAAAAAATTTTGAAATGTGATTGATTAAAGTAAATAGAAAAAATGGTGAAATATCATTATGATTTAAACCATGCTTTCCCAAAAAACAGAATAAAATTAACTTTCACTCTTACTTTACACATGCTTTAACCTTTTTTCCGCACCTAAGCTTTCACCTCAAACAAAATAAGTAGTGTTGAAACTAAGAAATATTATAATAATGAATAATTTTATAATAGGGAAAAAAATATTTGTATTCACAAAAAGTATTCTTTCATCTTTATTATTATCAATCCATTTTTAACATTTCCACAATCGACATAATACGCACACATATGTTATATTTATTCATTCTTTACATATTAGATCGATGCAATGTTTTCCATCAAACTCCCATGTTTGTTATTAATGGAATATGCATTATTACAAATATGTTTGAGCTTGTTAGAGCAGTTCGGTACAAACATGAGTTCCAGTAATATATGTACTCTGCCTAAACTTTACGTATTAGCAAAATGCTACTATGGTTTTAGTAATTGCATTGTGTTATTGAAAAGTATCTGTTATCAGAGCTGCCTAGTACAACAAACTGCCCTTGACATGGCAGCAATTCAGGGAGGTGGGCAGGTGTTGGTAGAGAATTACATACATGATATGTTAACTGAACTGCCCATGGTGTTTCATTTGACATTTCCTAATGAAACCCATAATTAGAGTGTACGGATATTTGAACACGTGACGATACATATTACATCAAAACTTATAGCAAGGTTAAAAATTTAGCATTCTCAACTGCAAATCTACAAAGCCATTTCACAACACTTCGAACACAAATTTTATAAAATAGTAACACTGTTCCACACATTGTGATTTGCAGGTTCACCGTTGGCGATAAGCAAAATGTCGTCCTCAAAGCCGTCTTCATTTCTCTCTTTTTTTGTGTGATTAATTTCATGAAATAAGATGTAATAATTAGACTTAGGCTATACTCAGGATGTTCCTTCTCAAGCCCGACCACAGGTATGTTCATCCATGCTCACCTCAGCCTTTAATTTATCCACACTGTTGTTTGGTTAGACATATTTTACGAAAAATGTCCTCTATTGGGTTACAACCAAGAAGTTTTTAAGTGAAACCGGTTGAGTAGCTTTATATTTTTTCAAGATACTTGAAACTCTGAAACAGTTTATGATTTATAGATACTATTATATACCCCCGGTATTTTTTCAATTGTTGGAATTCTCAAACAGTTTACTTAATTGATTGGTTTCTAAAGCTAGATTACCTTTTTTTTTACATAGATAACAATAAGTTGTATATATGAACATATTATGATTAGGCCAAAGCACTGGGGATGGCCCTTACATGGGTTACATAACCTTTGACCGATTAGGTATTATTTCATTATCGTCCCAGATTATATAGTTGTGACTGAGAACTCCATCATTGACCAATATCCCAAGATCTTTGTCAAAGACCTAAACAGCTTTGACAAATTTATATGGTTTACATAGGTAATCCGAATAATTATTTGGCAAACCATGTTTTGTTAGAACATGGGTTCAAGAAAGATGTGAACTCAAGAGTCAAGATGACACATAAATATTTTACATTAGATCAGGTGCAAACATTAATATTGGAGTAGTATACATAAGAGACCCTACATGTGGGCCATAAACTTATATTGTAGTAGTATTATCACACAATTACATAAGAGCACTTGGGTTACGTAGAGCACACTTAGGCAGTAGTCCTTGAACGGCTAACAAAATCCAAAAAGGGAAACATTGAAGACGCCGACTACATCTATTGTAGCATACTGTCTTCTTAATATCTGCCTCCATTCTGCTTGTTTTATTTAAGACCCTTTCACAAAATACTTATTCCAATCCACCATACTCCAAATTTATTATCAAAATATATAATAGCATCAGGTTTTAGGGCCCTCGATCTTAATTCCCTTCATCTTTTTAGTTGGCATGTTTTTAGCCGGCACGTTGGATGAAGATTCTCCAAACAGGTTCCTATTGATCTTGTCAGTATCAATTTCCAGAGCGTCTCTCTTCGCCTTGTCAAGTAAGGGGCTGCTTGAATTCACCTGTTCTGAAGACACAACCTGGAATGGGCATTTTAGTTTATTTTATAAAAACAGGCGCTAAAATATAAGAAAAATGACAATGTGTTTACCCTTTCACCCCCAGCAAACTCTGTTTTCAAAGCTGAAAACTCATCATCCTCCTGCTTATTCCCATAGATACATTAGTATACCTCATTCTTAAGATAAGGCCTCTAAAACCAAATAGGAAAAGTAAGATAACAAACCTCTGATGTGGTTGACTCAGTGACATAGAGTGAGATAACTCTAGGGTCAGTATTTATTCTAAGCACGTTGTAGTTCTGATTACCCTTGTAATTTTGGCTATCATGTTTATACTGAATGCGCAACAGGGCCTTGACGTCCATCAAAGCATTGATCTCGGAAGGGAAATAATGCGGCCCAAAATTTCTCTGAACCAAAATAGAAGTTGGTGTCCCAAGCTATGACCAAAAGATGAACATAAAACACTTTCAATTAAAAAACAATTTAACCTTAGTCACTTGTTCTTTCAACGATGCAGCGGATCGCCCAATCAAGCATGACACCTCTCTGTCCCACAGCAGAAAGGACGCATGCGAGGTTATATCAACCACTCGAATGTTGACTTTGTGCCTACACCCATAATATAAGTTACACCCAAAAAAATCAAGTGAGAAAAACAGTTCTTTACAAAACAACACCTCAAAACAGCGTCTGAGGAATTGCAAGAGAGGCAATGAAAGCCATCACCATTGGGAGTAACTTTTCGATTACAACCAATGCATGAAACATAACACCAGTCCTTATGGCTATCTATGTCTGCAATTTCTCCATAAATCCAGTGCTTGCCGTCCTTATTAAGACAATTAAGAAGTCAATTAGTGCTTATACAAAAAACCGAGAACATTACATACACCATTAGCCCCCATGACCAAACCTCTTCCATTTTGTGAGCTGCTCAATAGTAACCAACTGTATTTGGCCAGTGCCAATGTCACCGTCGTTAGATGTATCAGATGCAATTGTAAAGCTCAAACCGTCTCCACACCTGCTGGCCATCCTAGATTTAAATTCGTTGAACTCGCCTTCCACCCCGTTAAGAATAACCTTGGTTGTGTTAAACATGTTGGACACATGTACTTGCCCTAAATGTAGTTAAAATACATTAGCAAAGCAATATTTATTCGGGCAATAGCATGTAAAATATGTAAAAAAAAATACCGTGCTAATATTTCTTAGCACGACAGCATTGAAGCAGCATGGCTATGGGTTCACCCGTAGTCAGTTTATAAGACTTCAACATATCGACCATAGGACCCCAAAGGGTGCATGAGATCACATTGCCCCTTTTAAAGATAACATTGGAACTATTAGATAACCGTACAGTGGGGAAAGTAAACTTGAAAAAATTTGGCCAAAGAGTTACTAACTCCGTATCTCCCAGGATAAGTTCCACCAACTTTTTTGGGCGATCATTTTTTAGAATTGTCTTAGGATCCTTATCATGGACGACCTGTCCAATGATATTTGCATTGTGTCCCATTTAAGTTAGTTGACTTTCAACACAAGATGGAAAACACAATAATGTTGGATTTACAAACAAACTGACCAATCGCTGCCCTGTCATCGATAGACTCTTGGGCCTGCAACACAGCAAAGGACACCAACGAAAACGTTCTTAACGGAAATGGAACCTTGATCTCAAATGCCTCACTCTTTTTGAAGAATCGTAGCCTATACGCGCTAGTGGTGGTTTTGAAAAACATGAAAATTTCCTCAACCATAAAGTTTTTTATGGCATAAACACGTCCTTCCCTAAACAAACCAAAAAATTTGCCGATAAACTGATCCGGGATGTGCCCGTGAATCTTTGATCCCTGTGGAAAATAAAAACAAATTTACTTTGAAGAAAAAATCAAGAACAATTAAAATGGGAAAACATTTACTTCATATAGAATGAAAAGTATTTACAATACCTCTTCATCATGGAATATGACTTCCATGGACTCCGGGAACCCATCATGGGCAGGTTCTCTGTAAACCCTCGTCGCACAAGCCTTTATGTCCCATGTAGTTTTGGATTGATCAATTTGTCTAATCATTGACCACATACCCACCATTTTTAAATGAAAGCTTAGCTAGAAAGATATTAGTTTCGGAGGTTGCGGATGAAGATTGTGCTTGCATCCCCATGGTATTTAAATGGGCTGTTGAGCATAGAAACAATAAATGAGACAACATTCCACCACCCATCCTAACCAATAGAAATTAGGCAATGTCAAACACAAACTATTCACACGTACAAATGTTGAGCTGCCCACCCGGTTGAACCAATAGGAGCATTGTACTTGAATCATCTTTCACCAACTACCTTTCTCAACCACGTGCAAGAAATTTGATATCTTTCACCAACTGTTGAACCGATTGAATGGCCAATAGAAGTCGGGCACCAGGCACCAGTCACCAACTCCGTGCAATTTTAATCTCCGGGCTTGAAAAATTTGAGGACACAATTTGGATTTGCATTTTTTATGGAGAAATAACCAAAGCTTGATGTTGACATTTTTTGGGGAACACTATTCACAAAAAAGTGTTCCTTTAGATATTAATAGATTCATAATTTCATCTTAATCTACTTCAATTTACGGACAAATTTCTGTGTATCTATCATTGGTATAAGAGAAATTAGTCCTGGAGCCTGAATCGATCAACAGCTTGAGGAAGAGTATGGACAATATTGAAAGTCAATGGAAGGAGATGCGCCATATGTTGGGAAAAATTTGTCACAGACTCAAGCGACATAGAGACAGGGTGAGGAGCCCTCCTAGACAACGTCGGTTGGTTGAAAATATTTAATTGTCTTCGCGAACTGAATCGCGTAGTTCGCAAACATCTTCGCAAGCGCGGGTCTCTTCTCAGTCGCCAACACTTCCGTCCAGTTGTCTGGCTTCTTCGCGGTCTTCATCTCACAGTTCCCAGCCGCGAACTTCGTCACACAGTTCGAACTACCGAACTTCATCATCCACCAGCAGTTCACGATCAATTACGGCGCTATCGAGAGAAGCTTTCTATTCGTAGTTGTCATCACAAACGACTTTAGTTTCATCGCGAACAGTAGTTTCCAGTACTCAAATGTCATCTCAGTCGCTGACATCGTTTCATCGGTCCAGACTTCAACGCTATCATATACTTCCAGTTCACAGGGGTCTTCGCTAGCGGCTTCTCACAGCTTGTCGTCGTTGGTTGCTTCAAACTGCCTGAGAGGGAGGAAAATGGAATTCATTCGAGAAAAGTGAAAGAGCAATTATCAATGCAACTGGGGGATCAGGTAAAAATCACAGATAAAACAGAGAGGAGTATTCAATCACTTGAGTGAAAATCTGATATTACTGTGATGAGAGGAGTGCTTCGCGATAAAACATCGGATTCTCACACTTCCCAAGCGTCACCGCTCCTTTTGAAGTCTATTAACCTGCGGCAACCTTCTTGTGTTGATAGGAGTGCTTCGCGATCCAGAGAGAATGCAGAGAAGTCCAATTAGGGCAACGATGAAAGCCATGAGAAATCGCTAGCAGATTCTCTCACGTCGCAAGCTTCACAGCTCAATTTGGAATTCATTAATCAGCTACAATATATTTCTGAAGATAGGTTCATTGTGGTGATGAAGGGCCAGAGGAGAATCTTCTGTGGGGAATCAATCCTCGATTGTTATGAAATATGTATCCTCGATTGATAAATTGTTGGTCCAAATATTTTGGAAAGCTCTACAGGGCCTGTCAGTATAGATTGCTTTACCAAAACTCGAGAAAATGCAGAATATGTGATGATTGAAGTTCCGCAGGATCCTTCACGAGCTATTGGCTCTTTAATAAGAAGAGGAAGGTATAGAGATGAAGACAAGAGGGGATGGAAGGAAAAAAAGGAATGCATGAACAAACCTCAACATTGGATGGGAGAATTGAAAGGAAGGGCACCTACCACCAATGTTCTAAAAGGCGTTAGGCACTAGTCGGGCGCTAGTCGGGCGCCAGCTCAGTGCCTAGGCGGCTAGGCAGACGCCTAGTCGGGGACTAGTCGGAGACACAAAAATTGCATTTTTATCTATATTTTTGCATAAATATGATAAATAATATTGTATTTTTTGTGTGTATAAAATACATATATACATATACATTAACAAACATGAAAGATAGAATTCTCACATTGAATCATACATAGTATATGATAACTAATCACTTAACTTCATTATGGTATAAATAAATATAAATAATGATAAATTTTAGGTATATACACAAACATATATAGTTTTATCTTAATTTACAACTTCATTTCTTTATATCCATGGATAGAGTTAAAGTACGTATATCACTTAGAAAATAAAAAGTAAAAAGTAAAGTAATGTTCGGCGAATCTAGACGGCTTAGGCGGCCGATTAGGTGCTCTAGGCGGGCAACTAGGCGCCATAAGCGGCCGACTAATTCAACTAGACAGAAACCCAATTAGTCAGAGTGCCTAGACGAAAATCGGAGCGCCCGACCACCGCCTAGCGCCTAGCTAGGCGGGGACTAATCGGGCGCCTAGAACGATTTTTAGAAGAGAGTCTACCACTAATGTCGACGGAGGTACAAACAACCCATTTTTTTTTATTTTAGGCTGTTGGTATGATTCCCATATCTGGAATGTGGAAGAACCTGACGGTGTTCATAGCTTAGATCCCAAAGATGATAATCCCGTTTCATTCATGCAAAGATTACCCAATTATGGAAAGGAGCTTCAGGGAATATCACCAGTTTGTATTCTTCTGCTAAATGGAGGTGTAGGTTTTGACAACCAGTTTCATATGACAAGTGTTGGTACAAAGATCAAGATTCTCTGGGGAGGAAGATTGGGACTCCTTTGATTCTGGACTAAGATGGACTGATGAGTTTGTCTTGGTAGCAATGTTGAAGGAAATGTTCAGAAAATAAAGGAGTTTGGTGCGGTTATCACTTTTAAGAAGCGGGAAACCAATACATTCATGCTTATTCTGCCTGAGGTTCATCAGGATCCGGTCCCTGAAGCTCGTTCTGTTGCTGCAAGAGCTGTTGGCTCTCTTATAGGGGATAGGAAAGAAGAAAACTTTCCAAACTTGGGACTTTGGCGGTTAGAGAATCTGAAATCGCATGGCAGCACTGTTATGCACAATTTCTGTTGGTTGTTGAAGTTTTACAAGATAAATCCTGCTATTACAAATAATGATATCTTGATACTATCTGCCATACAGAAAAGTGGATGATAAATGGAGAAGTTAGCATAAGGCTTGTTGCAGACAATGAGTTGAGTAACTTGAGTACCATCAAATCGGAATTCAGCACATTGATAGTCTCAGAAATAAGACTCCTTGAGGAGTCTCGTGAAAACAAGGAAACATTTGTAGTTAGTGAGTGCTTGAAGGCTACTACAACAAATGAAACTGCAATAGACATATCCTCTGCAGCAGCACCATTTGTGATTGTGAAGGAACAAGTACTTAAGCGTCTGGTTCAGCAAGCAATAAGGTATTGGGAAAGAAGAGGCGCAGGATGAAGAAGAAGCTGTTGGTTATGACTGTTTCCTATCACTCACCTTAAGGACAAGGTGGTTGTCTAAAGGGGGAGAAATGATAGGATCCTAGGCTAAAGGGAATATTATTAATTTATTAATAATAATAGTCATAAAATGATATTAAGTAAGTGTGGTATTGTATAAATAAGGATTCTGGGCCATTTCAGAAAAGATGGGATGGCCCGTTAGAATATAATTACTATAAGAGTGGGGGAAGGAGGGTAGAAGGAGGTAGGCAGATATTAGTTTGGGACATGTGTCTTGGGAGTGCAGGACACTACTCGAAGTGTCTCCATTATATATTTCTTTTCCAGTTCATCAATTTCATCTTAATCTACTTCAATTTACCGTCAAATTTCTGTGTATATATCAGTTTTCCTTTAAAAAATACTTGAATTTATCTTTTTTATATGATTTGCATACATTATTAATATACAAAATATCATTTTTCTCAATTTAGTAGACTAAAATTTTAAATGATTTGCATAACTTTTATCTAAAGAAATAAGACCAATTATATACATCTCGGGTGATAATTAACGACGTATTTGTATGATTGTATCTTTAAAAAAAACAAGAGTTGTTGACTTGTTGTCAAAAATGTATTTGTTTTTGGCCAAAAAATGAAATATGCATTTGGAATTAAATATAGAGCCTTACTTGCAATTCTTCTTAAAAATTTGGAGCCTTACTTGTAGGGATGGACTCGGGCCGGGCGGCCCGCCCCGGAACCGGCCCGGACCGGTCACTGTTTGAACCGGCCCAGCCCGGAAACCGGGCCATAGGGCGGTTCGGGTCGACCCGTCCCGCTAGTCATACGGTTCGGGCTCGGGCCCTAGGAATGGTGAACCGGCCCGGCCGGTTCGGGCCCGGTCCGGGCCAAATTTAGTTTTTTTTTTTTGAATTTTTTTTTTAAGTTTTTGGGTTGGGTATTTTGGGTCATTTGAGGTGGTTTGGGGTGGCTTGGGGTGAGGGGGGAGGGTTGGGAGTTAATTAGGAGAAGCCAAAAAATAAATTAGATTGGACCGAGGCCCGGCCGGCCCGGCCCAAACCGGACCCGGGGGTTACCCGGGCCGGTTCCGGGCCTCCCATATCCTGAACCGTGAACCGGCCAGGCCCAGGCCCGAACCGGCCCGAGGCCATCCCTACTTACTTGCATCTATCCCCCTAGTTTTAACGCCCTACCATATCGGATTAAAATAAACAAGAACAGTTTAGAGCAGTCCACCATTAAAGAACATTGAAATCTTTTTCTATTACTACAATACTTATTTATTGTCATATTATTGTTATTATTATTATTATTATGAATTTAAGATATATTCTAGTGTATTTCAAAGGACGCCATTCCCTTAAAAAAGTGTGCTATCTGAATTTCTTAATTTTGATCGGCTTTCAATATATTTAAATGTCTAATCTTTGTGTATTTTACAACTATTGAAGTGTGACCTAATTTGTTTAAATCTAGCCTGATCTATTTAAGTCCAGTCTAGTGTTTTTTGGGATTGATCACAGTCCAAGTAAAATCATCCTCAATAGTTCTTCAACATATATTCACATGAAATTGAAATAAAAAT